CAGTAGATGTTTTACACACAAAGAGGACATTTAAAGCAGGGAGAGTTACACGAACATGTTAAGGCCAGAGGCGTGTCAGGGTCTAGACTATAACCCAGCCACAGCACAGGAGCTATTCCTAATGGAACCCCAAACCCCACCCTGCTGCTTGCAATGATCTTTCTGTGCCTTTTAACACCTTGCTCCCCTCCCCCTCACTGGAGACTCCAACTTAGTGGTCCCAAATGACAGAAAGTTCTGAGCAGCAGAGTGAAAATATGTTTCACTTTCAGTGTGGCTTCAGAAATCCATCCACATTTTCAGATGAGAAAAACATTTGAAATTTAAGACTGCCAACGTTTCAAGTTAAACTTCAAAATCACAGCTTGGCTTATGTGTAAGAGGCACTCAGATCAACGAATATTAATCTATTGATATATTAGAGTTTTCCAGAGAACATGTATCACAGTTTTCCAAGCAGAACCAATAGGACCTATCAGTGTATAGTCTATCTGTCTGTCTGTCAGTCTATCCATTTTAGGTTTGTTTTAAAGAACTGGCTCACACAATTGCAGGGCTGGTGAATTTGAAATTTGTAGGGCAGGCTGCCAATTCAGGCACTATTCCTGTTACAGTCTTGAGGCAGAATTCCTTCTTTTGTGAGAAACAGTTTTTGCTCTGAAGGCCATCACCTGATTGAATGAGGCCCACTCACATTATGGAGGGTGATGTTTTACTTAAAGTCATCTAATTGTAAATGTTTAACCCTATCTACAAAATCTCATAGCAACACCTACACAAGGGTTTGACCAAACACAGTGACACCACAGCCTGGCCAACTCCACACATTAACCGTTACAGCACTATATTTAAAAAGTGGCCTTAAAAAATTATTTAATGTTTTCCTCTCTGTAGCACCATTGTCGCCCACACCAAGAGCGCTAAACATAGATCACAAATCAGCAACACAGTGAACTAAGGGTTCATCCCCAAATAACCATGAGCAGTAGTAATAAGAGCCTAATGAAGAACAGAACAGTTTAGAACTTAATTATCTATTGGTATTCATTTATTTTCTAAAAAAATAATTATGTGAGGGAATTTAAGGAGGAAAATTACTCATTACAATAAATAGCTCATGAAATACCCGCCCATTACTGACTCAGCTTTCATACACTCAGCAAAAATATGCATTCATTGATTTGCCAAGTTATTCTCAGTAACTCTGCTAACAATACTGTAATTCAAAGTGTAATTCAAAGTATCTATCAGAGAAATCTTCCCCCACCCCGCCCCCAAGAAGTCTTAAGAAGATACCAAGAAATGTAACCATTTACAAGGTGACAGGAAGACAGATGACAGAATGATCACAAAGATAACCTGCCCTCTCTCCTCCCCACTAACCCCAAATTTGATTTCATGGTCAGAGTTGCAAATTGTCATACCGAGAAAGCCCACTTGGGGTTGGGTTCATTTGAACTGGAGATGTTTGAAAACTATGCTAGCTAGAAATGAAAAGGCCTGTGTAATTTTCCATTACTTCCCAAGTAATGATCATGAAAATTACACAGAGGTCCTCAATTATTGGCCTTTTGCGTAACAAACCCTGCTAGCCTAGACTGGATGAAGGAATGACAGGCAGATGCAAGAGACAAGAGGCTCAGCAGCCTTTCCTATTTAGTTAGTGTGACTTGTTGGGCATGATTTAGTGAGATCTTTGTTGCAGAAAATGAGTGACCCTGTAAGAGCAGGGTGTAGTGAACACCTGAATGGGGTTTTTGATTCGGATAAAGAGGCTGAGGAAGAGGTGGAAATAAAAATTTTTATATCCTTATAGAGCCACATGCTCAGTATCCAAACCAACTATTGAAGTTCTTGAAACCAAATAGTTTGAAAACTTTTATTTGGTAGCAGAAAATATCTATAATTGGATTTTTACAAAAGATGTGCAAGAAAGGAGATATAAATTTATATAGAAGATTTTTTGCTGTTGAAATTTGGGATGGTAATCAACCATCGACGGAGGTTACAAGAGCTCATAGGACGCCATGTCTTTTTACGTAAAGGAAACAGAAGCTACTGACCCCTTGGCTCAGCAGTTTGTTGAAACTCATTATACTGAACCTAAAGAGACAGAAGTTAATGGAAGAGAAGACAAACTACATGATTTTGAGCTGTAGTACTATATAAACATATTCAGTCAGACCAAAACTAATTATCTCAACAACCTGACAATAGATTTTTCATCATATCAGGTTGACAATGTCTATAGTGTTCATTTATACCATGGCTTTTCAGCTCAGTGGTCAGGACTTGAAATTATATACAGATTTACACACAGTAGAGTTATGGACAGCTTTGCTATCCTAGCATATGTATCTTTGTGTGTCCACTTGACTTGTTGCCTGTACAACCCTTGCTGTGGGCTCGACTGCTTATCTGATGGAGGACAAGACCCCAAGGTGACCCAAAGACCAATACAACAAGGATCAGCCCACCTCATCATCAAGGCTTTGTGTTATTCAACCGGCTAACAACTAATACTTTCAATGAGCCAAACAAAGATGCACTGAGAATGTTTGGAACATCCAAGAATTAAAACCAGTGTTTATGGTATAGTCTGCATTAATGTTTTAATGAAATATTAAAAAAAAGACTATTTGCTGAAGGGGAACGCAAACAACCTCCCATTAAGTAGAAAAAGGAAAAAACACTGTTGTCCAATTTCCAGTTTAAATGTATTTGATTATGAAGACCGTGACCCCACTGAATATAAAAAGAGCTCAGAAGAAATTATCTTATCCTCAATATACAAGTATAGTAGTATTTATGTATCAAATTACATTTGGTTTATGATTAAATACAAGGCCAGACACACACACACACACTCACTCATAGTACCTGTATGGAATTTTCTAAAATGCTCACAGTAGCTTATATGGTATTGATAGAAATGAAGATAAAATGCACAGAGTGTATATTAAAAACCCTTTTTTACAGATGGTTAAAAGTGATACCTTTTGCGGGTTAAACAGCTTAAATTATTCAAGTTTGAAATCTGATTTTTGAAAGCAGAACAGTGCTTTGGTATCCAATTTCACACCTTTTCAAAAGAAGGAACAAAAGATAGAGAACATTCAACATGGGAGAATTAGACTTCTGATTTGTAACTGAACTGTGACATGGTCTTCAATCCATCTTGGCCAAAACTGAGCTCCTTGGAGATAATGAGGGGTATTCAAACCATTAGATTTAAATTTTTGTTTCCATAAGTATGTATTATAAAAACTTTTAAAGATGCACATTCAAATGTGTTACATACTCTATTGTACCATACCAGAGAGAGTATGTATACTAACTAATAGAATACTTGCTTCTGCTACCAGGATAACTTATTTTTGTATAAACTTTGGAGATGCAACTTCAGCTATCTCTAATTAAAGAATCTCCTGAGTTGTGTATCTAAAAGATGTGTATCATTTTTAAAACCTATTCTTTGTACTTGTACTGCCGTGAGTCAAAATTTTCTTACAAGGTATAGAAATAAATTGGCTGTAGAGGTTTGGCCAGTTACCTAGAACCCCAATTTCACATTTGTGATATTCAGAAATCTTAGTCTTAGCAATGGACTAAGCTCAGTAAACATGAATAGAAACTTAAAGATATTTATTCTGATAAAAAATAGACTTTCAGGCTTTATATATTGGGGTTATAAAAATTGTATTTAAAAAAGATTTCGGTGCAAAAGCATTTGGAAAATACAGCCCTATAAGAAACTGTCTTTTAATTTGTTGATACAATGTTGAATGTGATTTAGTTTTCTGAAACATTTCAATTGTTAAATCAACCCACATAATGGGGAAATGTCTACAAATTAGAGTTCTGTGGGCCTTCAAAAGCAGTAACTTAAAAAAGCTTAAGGAGAAATTATACTGAAAAATTCATAATTGCCTTCTGGCAGGCAATTTTAAAATAAGATTTCCATTTTCAATTAGTAACATATTTATTGCTGTGTTCCAAATTTCAAAACATGTTCATCCTCCAGGTAAGACAATTTAGTATCTTCACAGGTCAACTGTGCTGTGTGTTTTGATAGGTGAGGCACATTTCAGTGATTTTAGATTTTATTTTTTGGTTTGATTATAAAACAGCTTGCACACACCAAACTCAAACAATTTTTTTTATTTAAAAATCCACCTCAAAATTCACTTCTGGGTTTCAGTTTTTGTTTAAAAAGAAGCAAACATTTAAAAGCATCAAATGTTACTAGTCTACAATTTATCTCATGAGGAACATTTTTAGTTTGTGGTTTGGGGTGATCAACCCATTACATGGATTAGGCACAGCATTAAGGCCCAGGGCCAGAAATCAGGGCACCTGTGTGTGGTTAGGCAACAGTTAGGGTCTGCACGGACGGGTCCCACCTCACCTGTGGGTATCCTACGTCCATGCCCCCTCCAAAATCTGTTAGTAAGTCTCAAATCAACATAAGAGATCGTAACTTTGTCAAAAAAACAACCAGTCATACCTGCTTTTGAAATCACATTGTGAAGCCAAGATAAATATAGCTGTAGCCTCACTATATCTAATTTGTGGTCCTGATGTCCATGTCACGGGACCATGTTACAGGTGGGACAGAATCCTATAATCCCTCTCGTGGTTTTGGAAATCTGGTTGGAAGAAGTCCAAGACACTAAGATTTCACATTATAGTAAGTGCCAATAGTTCTTGAATGGGGCAGTGACTACAAATCACAGTACAAAACTCTTAGTTCTTTTACTGGAAAAGCAACAGGTGCTACATACGAGAATCACTTATATGACATCTATTTTTTTAATGCAGATATAAAATATTAATTGCATAGGGATTTAAATATAAGGCCAAGAAGAATATTAAGTAAAGTTAAAAAAAAATCATAGAAAGGGCACTATGGTGTCAAAAGATAGAATTTCATTCTTAAGAGTAATAAATCTGAATTACTGTCTAATTAAAAAATCACAGTATGTTGCTATAACTAACAGTGAGTGTCAACTGTATCATTAATTCCAAACTGGAAACCAACATTAGGACTAACAAGAACAAACTAAAGCTCATTGCCTAAACCTGATCAGTGTATTATTAGCACATCAGTGCCTGGTACGTACCTGATTAGTTATATAATCTACATTTTGCCAAAAATGTAAAGCTTAATACAGTTTAACAAGTATGAGAGCATGTCACCACTGCATGCCCCCAGTGACGTGCAGGCTTACTCCATAGCATAATTCTGTCTTCTGAGGTGTAAGCCGGCAGAATCTTCACTCAATGAACCAAAAACACTGTAATTGACAACATGGAACAAAGTTCTACCATTGAAAATTAAATGTACATGAAGCAGAGGAGTAGCTCCTGACACCAGTACATATATTATCGTCGGCATTTTGGAAGGCAATGAAGGAAGTGGACCGCACTCTAGCTGACAAGCTAACGGTCACCACCTGAGGTTTCAGGTGGACATGTCAACTGAGTCTCTACTTCTCCTCTTAATGGTGTTAGGCTGTAGTTAAAGAGCAACTTCCCAAACTAAAAGTAGCTTAGTTAACTTATTATATGGAGTAGTGTGAGGAAAAACAAGAACTCCCAAAGGAACTATGTTAAGGTACATTTGAGAAAACCAATGTTTTAAATGAAAAAGTGCATCAATACAGTAATACTACAAGTGTGTTAACTATGGAACAAATGCTTCCTCTGGGAGCCACACAATACTATTTTCCCACATTATTTACATATGATGAATTGTTCAGATACCACAAAGCACCATTGACAGTCGGATTATTTGATTATGCCTGGAGACTTCTTGGACAGTCCACGCCTCTTGGTCGAGGATCTGCCTGGAGTAGATGTCTCGAGCCATCTTCGGTCAAACGGGATTCATCTTTTACAAGTGAGTTCTCTTTTGTTCAAGCCAACAAAGCGGTGTTTTCACTTGACGCTCTTGGTGGGTGTTTCGGACTCCGTGGACTGCCTCCCGTCTGTCCAGGCTTCCCGGGTGCTCTTTAGGGCCAGGGTCTTCTGTTGGTCTACCACAACGTAATCCACCCGCTCATCGGCCACGCTGCTGCCCGAACCACTGCTCTTTTGCTAAAAAGTTAAGGAAACGAACCTTAAAGTCCCATATAAAAAGATGTACTTCTGAGCGAAATTCAGTCTTAAAACACACACACACACATGTGCTGTGCATACTCTGGGAAATCTACTGGGTCACAAAAACATACCGTTACTTCAATTTTACATTGCTGACTCCCTCCTAATTGTAAAGGGCTTTTTTTTTTGCACTTAAAATTATTGCATGTGGGCCTCCCTGGTGGTGCAGGGGGTTAAGTCTTGGCACTATGAAGCTATTGGCAGCCACTGCACATGAGTTCGATCCCCAGCAGAGGAGCTGACCCACATGGTGCAGCAGACCTCTCCTGTCTCGCCCGCTGCTCCTCTCAGCAGTGTATTTCAGTCCATCTGCCCATTCTGCTCCCCCCTGTCTCTGGTAAGTCCTCTTACCCCTGCCCCCGGACCTCTGGCCTACACCCCAGCTCTTCTATGCATAAATAAATAAATCTTAAAAAAAAACAAAACACAAGGAAACAAGCACTCAAGAATCTGGGTTAACAGAAACAATCACACAGAGTCACACTTTCACAGACTTTAGCTACCGAAATTAGTGCATACACAGTACTGTTTATATATAGATAATGTTTAAGGAATTAGAAAAAAACTAAATAAAAGGAATAAAATAATAAGGAAGAAGAAGCTATTAAAGCCAGCCAGACATATTTGAAAAAAGAGAAACAAAACTTCATTTTAGAAATGAAAAATAAAATAATTGAAATATTAATTTTTTAAAAGATTTATTTATGCGTACAAGAGCTGGGGTACAGGCCAGAAGCGTGGGGGGAGGTGAAGGGATTCACCAGAGACAGAGTGGGGAACAGAACAGGCAGACTGACTGAAATACACTGCTGAGGGGAGCAGCGGGTGAGTCAGGAGAGGTCTGCTGCGCCATGTGGGTTGGTCGCTGGCCGGCACGGAATCGAACTCAGGCTGCAGAGGCTGTGGACAGCTTCACAGATTGTGCCTTAACCCCTTGCGCCACCAGGGAGGCCCCCTAATTGAAATATTAATTAAACAGAAGGATTGAGAGGGCTGAGATTGGTGAAGGAACTAAAGCAATTAAGAACAAAGAAAATCAAACAGAAACATGGAAGAGTGAGAAGCGGTGTGGAAAGCAGAGAACAGCAAACCAATATCTAGCTAGAAGCCTCAAGAGACAATCATAAGATCGATAGAGGAGCCAAATTTAGAGAGATAATGATTATGACTTTTCCAGAATTGATAAAAAGTATGAATCCAAAAATAAAGCAGAGAAAATAAATAGAATCCAAGTCTAGATGTGTAGACACACCATTGTGACCTGCAGAAAACCAAGGATCCAGAAAAGATCTTAGAAAAGACAAAGGCTTAGACTGACCCATGCCATTCGGCCAGAACAACAGACGCCAGACAATAACAGAACAGTATTTTCTATGTGTTGAGAGAATATGATTGTCCAACAAGAACTGTCAACTCAACAAAATTCTTTTTCAAAACCAAGGGCAAAATAAAGACATTTCAGTTCAACAAAAACTGCATTTACCAGGAATGGACCTCCACAAAAAGGACGTGCAAAGGAGGTATTTTAGAAGGAAAGAAAATGATTACAAAAGGCAGGTTTAAGATACAAGAAGGAATGAGTAAAAAGAGAAGTTTTGAACATGTAGGAAAATGTAAAACAACATCATCTATAGAGTTAAAACAGAATATTGCTACTACTACTACTATCTCTGTGGGTTTAACAAAAAGAAAAAACTAAAATTTTGGATAAAAATAGCACATAAATCAGAGGGGAATAATTTGAACTAACACGGGAAAAAGAGTAAAGACACTGACTGACTTTAGAATTTGTGAAGGAAGCTTTGCAATGGCGACCACTAGGAGAGCAGGGAAGACAGAGCACTTCCACGTTCTGCTAGAGAAGAAAAAATGTACTAGTCTCCATAACTTTCTTTTTTTTAGAAAAAGATTTTATTCATTTATTTTTGCATAGAGCTAGGGTATAGGCCAGAGGTGCGGGCAGGTGAGAGGATTCACCAGAGACAGAGTGGGGAGCAGAACAGGCGGATCTACTGAAATACACTGCTGAGGGGCGGGCGGAGAGGTCTGCTGAGCCTGTGGGTCAGCTCCTTGGCTGCGGATCAAACTCATGCCTTAGCAAAGTGATGGCACTGAGACTTAACCCCTAGTCCACCAGGGAGGTGCTCCATAACTTTCTAACTTGTAGTTATGAAATAGCTTAAATTGTAGCCTTTACTAAATATAAATTAACCGCACTAAAAAAACTCCCCCAAAGGAGATAAGATTCTTCAGAGTTACAACGTCATTGAACGCTGTTCACTTACCTTACGTGGTGGTGTGGATTTCCCAGAATCTAAATCAAGATCTAGGTATTCCACTTGCTTGTCTCCTTTGGGCTTGATCATAGGGCTGCTTCCTCCGTCGAGGCTGTTACTGCCAAAAAGATTCTGGAAGTATTGGAAAACAAAACCAACTCTCAGACAGTCGTGATACATAATACTTATCTTGTTGGCGACTGAAGACTAAATATTTATTTCAATAGGATGTAGCTTGAAAAAATGTCTGCTTAGAAAATTAAATAATCTTTTAGGATGGGGAAAAGAACTAATATTTTAAAAACTGAATAAAACTTAGCTTAGAGCAAGCTCAAAGTTGTTTCAAAAGTTAAACCTGGTGGAAACTAAGACATCACACCACCGTTCACTTGACAGCATAATCTGAACATTATCTCAGTGCTATCTTTACTCAACTGTAGTAACTACAGAATCGTTACATGCCTTGCTTTCACATAAATGTTTAAATTCCATATTTTGTTAAAGGCCTTTACACTAAAATTAGTTTAGAATCAGCACACTAGCTGAAGGCTGTGAATAGTTATTCTATTGGCAAAGTCTATTTTGTTTCAACCATCTGGAATTTTTATCACTTAATTTCCTTGGTCTTCTTAGCCTGAACCCTTCTGTCCTAGCAGGAATTGTGTAACAGAGGGACGACTCTCTAAAAAAAGACTGGGAAAAAAAAAAAAAAAAAAAAAAAACAAGAGAAAAGAGAGCTGTTTTATAAACAAAAGGGAAAAGCTCAGAATAGAAAAATGAAAAAGAAACAGGCAAGTAGGAATTTGACAATGAATAAAAAGGAATGGACGACAGGAACACAGACCCTCTCCCAGAACTACGAGTCTTCTAGGTGTGTCCCAACAAATGACTTGTTTCCAAGCCTTGGCGCTCTCAACCCCATTGATAAGTGTCTCTGGCTTCCCACAGGCAAACTGCTTGATATGGAGATTTTCACCCACATCTTATCTCCTACTTTGGAAGAAAATAAAAATGATGTAAAAAGTGAAACATTTGTACTTGTCATGAAGGACAAACCCATTTGCAAACTGCTTAAATCTAGTTCCACTGAGTCTGTTATATTTGCTGCTGCCTGGTGCACACTCCCCAGCACACAGCCACTGCCATGCTCGCTGCACACTCTGGACTTTCAGTCTCCTCCCAGTGAGTAACCTGCGTGACCGAACGTGACAGTCCAGGTAGAGAGACAGATTTCTATTAATATGGTTTTTGATTTTCAATTTTGGGGAACAGATTTTTAAAGATTTATTTTATTTATTTATGCATACAAGAATTGGGGTACAGGCCAGTGGTGCTGGGGGTGAGAGGATGCACCAGGGGCAGAGTGGGGAGCAGAACAGGTGCATCTACTAAAATACACTGCTGAGGGGAGCATCGGCAAGACAGGAGAGGTCTGCTGCGCCATGTGGGTCACCTCCCTAGCCAGGGATCAAACTCATGCTGCAGAGGCTAGGCAATAGCTTGATAGCGCTGAGACTTTTACCCTTGCACCACCAGGGAGGCCCTGCGGAACAGATTTTTAGATCGCATTTATCAACAATGCTACTAAAGCATTTACAGAAAGAAGGAGGATAAATTCATGCAGGGCATGAAATGTGGAAATAGGCGTGGATGCTCATGTGGCACAGCCCCTGCTCTCTAGTTCAGTTAAAAACTGAAATTTTTGTCTCCAAATGATTCCATGCTTCATTCTCACATAAAAAAATCAAGCAGCAGAGTGTGTGTGTGTGTGCGTTCTGTGTTCCAAAGTGATAGATAGACAAAAGGACCCACGCCTGGAATTTCTCTCATGAGCACGGCCCAGGAGGGCTCACAGTCCTCCCGGGACACAAAGGGCGCCTTGCAGGTAGCACGTGCATGCCGCACCTCAGGAAGCCATTCCGGAGGAGTTTCTCGGAACTGCTTTCTAATTATTAGTAGAACTGGACATTTTTTCATCAATAAAATGTTAAAATTTGTGGCCCTCCAAGGAAGACTTTATTCTTGATACAATCTCAACAAGGAACAGCCTGCCTCTGTTCTAGCCTTAAATTTGGCATGTTCCCAAAATAGTTTAGAACCCTAAGTTTCCAGGAGTTCCTCTAAGTGTTCTTTGAATTAAAAAAAAAAAAAAGTTTTGTTTTCCTAAAATTCTTTTAAAAAGAGGCATATCATCAAACCTATTGTTGATGTTACTGGAGGACAGCCTCACCATCACTCGATTTCAGGGGTCACTTCAACGCTTCAGGTCACAAATGCCGGACTGCAGCTCTCTATATAAACTGGAGTAGCAACCCAGTTGCTGATTCGGCAGACCCCCTGCTCCCCCACATCCTGTGCGCAGACAGTTCTGTGCCCAGAACCATCCTGCCTGTGCTTTGGGGCCGCGTTGGATCGGATCCTGTCTCCACTTCTGAGTCTATTTCTTCACCGACACCATCAGCCCCAGCACACACCAGGTTCTGTAAAATGCCCATGCCCCCTCATCCTGACACCAAGCTCCAAAGGCTTTGGGACATCACATGATCACTCTGACCTGGTTTTCTTTCTTATTTTTTTTTAAAAAGATTTATTTATGTATACAAGAGCTGGGGTGCAGGCCAGAGGTGTGGGGTGGAGGATTCACCAGAGACAGAGTTGGGAACAGAACAGGCAGAATGACCAAAATACACTGCTGAGAGGAGCAGCGGGTGAGTCAGGAGAGATCTGCTGTGCCATGTGGGTCACCTCCCTGGCCGGGGATCGAACTCATGCTGCAGTGGCTGCAGATAGCTTCATAGTGCTGTATCTTAACCCCTTGCACCACCAGGGAGGCCCTATGACCTTCTTTTCTAAGGAAGAGTCAGCTGGGATGAACCTGATGTAGCAGCAGCAGGAGATAGAAAGACACATTGACTTTCTATGTGAAGTGGCGTATGGATATTTACACCCAGCTTATTTACCCATGTTGGACTTTACCATACTATTTTGGAATAGCGCTTTAAAAAATAGAGAGAAACAGGGCCTCCCTGGTGGTACAGGGGTTAAGCAACGCACTATGAAGCAATCCACAGCCTCTGCAGCATGAGTTCGATCCCTGGCCGGAGAGGGAGCAACCCACATGGTGCAGCAGACCTCTCCTGTCTCGCCTGCTGCTCCCCTCAGCAGTGTATTTCGGTCAGTCTGCCTGTTCTGTTCCCCATTCTGTCTCTGGTGGATCCTCTCACCCCTCCACGCCCGCATCTCTGGCCTGCACCCCAACTCTTGCATGCATAAATAAATAAATCTTTAAAAAAAAAAAAAAAGAAGTGTTTTTTTAAAAAAAAGTAGGGAGAAATAGAACAACAGACAAAACTAAACCAAGACAAATCCTAGAAATCTGAGTGTAGAGTTGCTACCAGAAGGAGAGTGTGGGGTGGGGAGCAGAGGTGGGAGGGCATTTGCAGACTGTGGTGGAGGATTAGGGGGGCTTTGGTTTTGGGTATGGTGACCTACATCTGAAGATTGAACCAATTGCCCTAAATTGTATACAGTGTTGTGAACCAAGTCACCTCAATAAAAAATAAAAAGTGGCCTTCTACCTTTTCCTTAAGTATATAATGAAAGCTGGAAAGATCAGATTTATAGAATGGAAAAAAGCCTCCAGCGTGAGTGCCAGGAAGGGCTGCTCAGGAAGACAGTTAAGAAGACTTTACGTACCGAGTCTTCACTGGACAGGTTTGGATTCATGGGGACATAGTTCTCCTCGCTGTCGTGAGAGTCGCTGCTGGAAGTCGTGCTGTGCACAGAGTCAGGCCGGGGGGACAGGGGGAACCTGGAGGAGCTGATACAGAAACCACCATTACAACACAAATATAACGCTGACAAAACTTCTAAGGTCATTTGCAAAACAACATGAGAGAGCTTTGATATGCACTCATACATGCTCATTGAGGTTTACGATCATTTATTGTACACATATCATAACACAACTGATCAAGCACATTCAAATGCACACCTATTATTTGTAAACAATGGTACCTGGGGCATCTAATCATCTTGTGTAAAACACAAGAAAGATGACTGCTAGTGAGCTGGGGGTAAGTGGACAGTCATGGATATAGAAAGATTTAAGGATTCCTATAAAAATCAACTGGCGTATGTACACACAAAATATGAACACATCTTCATTACAGGTTTGTAACTTCACTGAGTCTTCTCACTCCTATATCCAAGTCTAGATAAATGTTGATTACATGATCTTTAATCAAGAAACTTCTCCAATTTTCCAGATCAGTAGTTCTCAGAAACTTTTGGTCTTATGAACGCTCTTAAAAATTACAGGAACTCTTGTTTCTGTGAGTTATATCTATGATTATTTATCATGTTACAAATGAATAGCAAGCATTTAAAACACAAGAGTATACAGATACATCCATTCTACTAGTTGTCACAACATCATCAACTACTATGTGGTCTCTGGGAAACTCCAGTGTAACCTCATGAGAAGAGAGTGAAAAAGGCTAAGGAGATTATCTTAATGAAAGTAGTTCTGACTTCTAAGAACCCAAGTGGCGGCTCCCCAGACCATCCATTGAGAACCACTGTTTTAGGCCTTTTCCATCGGTGTGAATAATAAAGCTACGTACTTTAAACAAAGACTTACTCTCGAGCAAAACTCCTGGTGATGGGAGATCTAATCGGGGCTTGTAATTCTTCCCATTCGGGAAAGGGTTTAATTTCTAAAGGTGCTGGCTTGACTGAAATAAAGAGAGAGAAAGATATTTTAGTGTAAAGAAATCTGGAGAATGAACAAGATCCCCTCTGGTTTATCTCTACATATGGGTTAGAGCCAGAAGACAGTGAAGGCCAGAGTGTCACACACAAAATAAGAGCCAAAAGGGTTGTGGGGCTGGACCACGATCACAAAGTTAAAATAATAATAAATAATAGAATAATTCGCAGCAAAAGCTAAATCAGATGTTCATGATTGCTTAATCAAATCCCAAAGCTCTATTACAACATGCAGCTTTCTTATATAAGTAAATGTTTTATAATATAAACTACCTAAGAGTAATGTGATCCCATTCCTTAAAGAGTACTTGACATACAGTATTTATTATTTCCTTACTTTATTTTTTCACTCATTTTATCCTCACATATGGAGATTTAAGTAAAAACACTCCTTTTCTTCAATATCAAAGCATCAATTGTACTACTATATATAAAAATTATGCATAAAAAGTATTAAATACAAGTTTATCAAAAATAAAAGCTGAAAAAAAATTAATGATGAAATCCCTTAAGTTAATTTCTGTTAACCTAGAAGCAAACAAATTAAAACAATAATTTCATCTTCAAACTCAGCTCAGAGAAAAGGCCATAATTAATCATCTCAAGTTTTTAGTTTAATTTAATCAACAGCATCCTTTACCAAATTAAGTAAGAACAAATGCCAGTATCTTTATTAGTATTGTTTATAAGGGATCTTTGCATATTTATGGTAGATAATTATTAACTAGTATAAACTATATTCTCAGCCCTTTCTGTAAAGACTGACGCATTTTTCAGAAATTTATGAATGAGAATTGAAACAACATTGCTTGTTAATATTCACTGTATTTTAAAGGAGACGATTAAAAACACAGCGGATAAATATCTTAGCTGCATTCCATTCAGCCGTTCTAAAGAAAAATGTTCACTTTTTCAAATTTCCTTTTGGTCTTTGTTCACAGATGTGTAATTTTAACCAATTGCTATAATTACCATCAAACTATAAAATAGGTGGTCACTTCCAAGGACCAGAAACATTCACTGAAGCTTATCACTATTTTTGTCAAGGCAAATACAAAAAACTCAAAGTAATTTTCTGAAGACCAGATGTACGTATTTAAATTCAAGTTGAAATAACTTTGCTCATCGAAGCCCTTAAATGGACATGTACTGAGTAATAAGTTGACTGAAAGTACTTAACTGGTGTGTTCAACTTTTCTGAAATCCCAAGACGAACAGCAGTTTAACTGTCAAACTCTAAGTCACAGCATAAAATAACTCATCTATGGGAAAGATTCTGTTTTCTGTGTCAGGATAGGATACACACATCACACACAAATACAAGCGACAATCGGAACTCATAAGCAGTCCACAAGCTTAAAGCAAACAATGGATTGATGTTTGAAAGGTTCAAAGAATAACACAGAAGGGCAAGACTAAACATATATTATCAAATATTTAGCATGCTGCTGTTCATGGCATAACAGCTAGATCTCGGTGTATATTATGGGGAGCACTTGTTTTAGAAATAACATGCTGGGATGCTTTATTTACAACAGCAGTAGCATTTAAGGCTGTTGTCCTTTACTTTTTAAGAAAAAAAAAAAAAAATCACAAAATAAACTCCCAAAGCCCCATCCAGCATGCATTACTAACGTACATACCCTTTCTTCTTGTCGGAAAGTCCCCTACGGTTTGTGAATCAGTTCGCTCTAAACCTTGGGGTTTGGGTCTTAAAATTTTAGGACTCTGACCTAATTGGTAAAAAGAAGACTCACTTAATAGTTGTTTTTTAATTGGAAAAAAATGGATTTTTTAAAAAAGAAAAAAAAAGCAACAGAGCTCGAAGCAGGAATGTTAACATGTTACATCTCAAAAGCATTAACAAGTTTGTAGAGAATATTCCCATTTTGCGGTGTATTCATGCTCAGTACATGGGGAAGAAGGAAGCCACATGCGACAACGTATAAGCTAGGTGTTAAGAAAGGGCGTCGGGTGATATTGGGGTCACCAGCTTGGTTAGTTGTTAGCTTGATTTGTGGGAAGGGAGGAAACACATTGTGCCATGTTAGTTATTTTTCTAACATGTCTATAGAACTGGATCAAATGAAAAAAAATCAGAACCCCCCTCAGATTCCAAGTACATATTTTCTTGGAGGTTTGGCATCTTATGAAGACCTAAGGTCTACTTCCCTATAATTACCTTCTTCATTTGAGGCAGGAATTTTAAAAACCTTCGTGTCACTATTCCAGTACCTCCTGACCAAAGTCCTTCTAGAGAAGCAGGTGGAACCGACAAGGTTTATTAACCCAGGATCAAAACTAAGACCCACAGTTTCCCCTGGCTACTCGATGACATCATTTTGGCAAGCATCAGGCTCGAGGTCCTGGGCCTGCATGTTGTCTGGCCTTAACTTCAGTGTTTGAAAGCAGAAGTGCAGTTGCCGTCACTGACTTCTCATTCAACCACTGCCATGTCCCAGTGGCACTGAAAAGTCCAGTGAAAAGTCCAGATTTGGAAAAGTGGGCCAAGTACTCTCTGTGGAAGCTGCTGTAAGAAGTATGATTTTATAATATTTTACCTTAAAGAATTAAATTTTTTTTTCTATGGTTTCCTTAAATCTCAGAATGAGCTTTCTAGGGGATTAGAGTGTATTCTCTGCCTGCAGAAACCTTTTAATGGTATGCTCAGGGCAGAGTGCAAGCTCATTAGCATGGATCCTGACCCAGGCCAGCAGGCACCTGCAAGGCGTCTGGCACCCTCCCTCTATACACTTCTCCCTCCCTGCGCCTCTGCATGACTGAGTCAGTCCCTCTCCATTCTGTTCAAAGAGGCCCACTCGGCTGCCTGCCCGCTGACTGCCCAGCCCTTGGTGTTCCCCTCCTCTGCCATCATTTAATCGCACTCAACCTCTCAGACTTTCCTCCGGGGAGCTTCACCGAGAGTGCCAAGAGCTTACCTCAGCCACAGCCCTGCCACGCCAACTATGATAATGTGTTTACTTTCCCACCTCCGAGCTGCGGAGGTGAGCTTCTTTCGGAGGTGACATCCTCTCCCTTGTGTCTGGAGACCCAAGGCCACGCAGAGGTATGGCCGACCCATCAGGGAAGGCATCAAGTCTGGGTACATCGGCCACCCTCTCTCTTAAACATGGTCGTGTTGAATCTGATCAGTATCATAACTTGTTTCTACTTTAAAAGGGAGTAAAGGGCGACTGAGTGTTGCTGGTGATTCCAAATATGGCCAAGACCACCCTGTGAGGTCAGGCTTCACCTAGGCAGCCCTTTCTGGAAAGTCTGTATACCACTCAGCATTGTTTGAATAGGCCCTGCCTGTAAAAATTCAGCTTAATGTGAAACATTTACTTCCCATATGACAAGACTAACTCAGCCTACATGATTTACTCTTTCAAAGGTTTACTATTTCCAGTAGGCGTCACAAAAATCAGGAAAGAAGAAAAATAATTCACAACATTATTATTCTCTGTTAATTCAAAAATGTCATCAAGGCGGCATCCTGAAAATCTTCTATATTCAATTTAAGGTCTCACTGTATAAAGAAAAACATAGTAACGCCAATTCGCCAGAAGGCTGAGGCTATTTCGGAGGACACAAGCACGCGTGAAGACTATGCAATGAACGTGCACCCCTTACCCTCTTACCCTGATTCCCTGACGCTGCAACACCCAACCAGAAATCTGTTTTCAGCTTCAAACTTTAATACCTGTTTATTAAGCCGGTTAGACTTGGCATCTTTCAGCTCTCTTCCAAACATTTATTACAGGATAAAAGTACCTCTTGAAAAACATGGTACTTTTTCATCACATTCAAAAACTTCTGTAGATGATCTCTTAAAAACGTTCAGAGAAAATATGTCTGAAGGATCCACTTACGGAAGCTCCAAGGATAGATGTTCCAGATGCTCCTTACACCAAAGTGATGAGCCAGGTGGAAGACACTTTAGCCAAACCAATGCACATACCAAGCACCAAGTCACCATGTGTTGTTGACTAAAACAACAGTGGCCAGAACTATTGCACAAAGCCAGGAACAGACCAAACCAAATCAAACCAAACCTAAAAACAGCACGAGAGTCTCAAACAGCTGCTCCGTTATATCAGAAGGAGACAGTTTGGGGTGGGGAGAGGACAAGATAAGTGCATTGATGAAATAAGGTAGATTTATGAAATGAGAAGCTGCAATCATTCTAAAGATGTCCCAAACTCGACAAAACTACTTTCTATTAAAATATGAACTTTTTGATTGAAGCAATCCAAACATAATTTGGTGTGCATTTCCAAGGACTTATCTGCTTTCCTAATATTTAATCTGTCCAGATAGTGTTTCTCCTCCATTAATTTAAATAAACCTCGGTTCACAACAAATACTAGAGTGACAGAGACAGTAGGGGAGGGATGGGTAAAGGGCTCCAGAAATATATTAAACCTAAGTGATCAGGAAATCTATGTATTTTTGCAGCCTCGATTACTTAGAAGTATTTGAAAAACTCATCTGTCCTACAAACTATAGCAGCTGACATCTATAATTGGGGGTGTAAACAAGGCTAGAATGTCACTCATTTGCTGCAGACCCATCCAAAGAAGACAATCACAGAAATTGGGTATTGAACTAGCTATACTGGGCTTTGACACTAATTAAGTCATATTTGATAGAATTAGCCTTACTTATTAGGAGTTCGCCAGAATAACAACAGATTGAGTGCTCTCTCTGACATCACACAATTTGAAATAAACAGTCTCATCTGATACTATCCATTAGAAGAAATTCATGAGCAAAGAGGACGATTATTCTACAGTTCAAGTTGTTCAAGATGATCTTTGCTTTGAGATGTAAAGTGGGGTTTTAAAATGTATTTATCTTCCAAAGTGAGCTGACAAAGTTTTCCCTGCAATGTTAAAAGCCTTCTTGTATCATATTTATTTGAAAAGTGGAACAGTACCAAAGCAAAGCAAAAACCTTTTTAAAATTTTATGGTTTTAGTAGTTTCTTTACTGCTTTGCTAAACCTATTCTCTTTGATTTTGCCAAAAACTGGGTGGCTATCTCATTCTGTCTGGTATTTCATTCTCAGTTCATTTTATATCTAAGCAAAGATACCAAATGAATAATGAGCAAGCCAGGCCAATGTGCTCAGGATCGTCTTTCAACGGTTCAGTTAATTTTTATAAGTCTAAGCACCATCTCCAGAAGTGACCAAGAACATTTGTTGTTCTGTTCTAGTGTACAGTCACTTTAGGTTGATGGAGAGAAGCAGCAATTTATCCCTGGTTAAGTGGAGCATATAGCACTTCCACTGCACACACAGGGAGGCCTAGCTACACCTGTGTGTAACACATGTACCATATTATTATAATATATATGCAACATAATATATAATACAGGGTACATGAATTCTACGATGCTAAAAGCACAGCACTGCGATCTTAAAACCTGTCTAAATGTCAATGGAAAGATTTCCTGATACTGCATCGTTTCCTATGTGGAACCATTAATATGAACTTGAAGGAGAATTTTTAAACTATGTCCTGCAGACCCCAAGGGCAGGAAGGCACAAGCAGGGAGGCCTTTGAGCTTTGTACCCTAACCAAAGGACACCACCTCCAAATTTATGTTGGGATCTGAAGATGTGAACCTGTTATATTTGAGGTTAAAATGTAGAGATCTAACATGCGCTGATCAGAGGAAAATAAGCCAAGAACCAGTTTAGCATTAAAATAAACATTTCAGACTCTCAAAGAGTTCATGACACTTGTATCTTAATCCCTAGCACTCTGTGAACTCACTGATAAATCTATACATGTCCAGACATAACTGTGCTTATTCTGCCACAAAGAAGAAAGTGACTAAGGATGTCGAAAATAGATTTAAAGACAAGTGGGGACAAAGGGAAACAAAAAAGTCATCAAATAAAGAGGCTGAGATGCTCATGCTCCTCCTAAGATGCCACCTCCCTCCCTCCCAAAGGCCCTGCTATTGGTTGCTGGGGCCACGGGCTGATGCTACGCAGGTTTCCAGAAGGTGGGTGCCGCGGGCCATCTATGCTCTGTCCTGTGCCTGGTGTGCAAAGACAAAGACCAATCGGTGGTGTAGGAGGCATTTAGCGACAGATGTGGGGGCTGCGAGGACCCAGAAAAAAGAAGCCACGAGCAGAACTGAGACCCCTGAGGGGCAGGGAGTCCAGAGCTCTCAGAAAGCAGAAGCTGAGCAAAAGCCGCGGAGCAGAACACAGCAGAGGAGGACAGATGTGAGGGAGACACAGCAGAAGCAACCCCTTCCCGGGGACAGAGCTGCAGCGGGAGCTGCTGGGAGGCTGTCCCCAGGCTGCCCCAGGCCCGGTCACGGCCCCCTTCAGCACATGGAAGACAGAGCTTAAAGCAAAATGATGCAAAACTCACTTTGTTAAGGTAAGTCTCAGTCTCTTGCCCACAGCTGGAACTCAACTAGAATATTAACGATCTAAGCCCAGGTGCATGAAAAATGTACACAAATGTGACACCTTTTTAAAAAGCTAATGCAAGTGTGCTATAAAATCCCCAGCAATAGTGCCTCTCATCACACAGCCCACATACATGAACGTGCATGGTCGTCAGGATTAAACCACGCTCACAGCCTGCTCCGACACAGCTGGCTGTTTGAGTCTTAACTACTCAAACTCACATTTTAAAAACTTGGGTCCACATCACTCATTTGGCTGAGAAGTTCCTTCTTCACACTGAGATCTTAACAAGCTATGCTGCCTTCGAATTTAGTGTTACTTTGGAGGGCCAGCATGAAAGAATAAACTAGGCCTTATTTATACCCGCGCGAAGGCAGAATCACTTTTAAGAACTTGTTACACGAATGGAACAGGGACGATGAGCCAGGCACCCTCACTGTCCTACAAGAATGCCAAGGGCACCATCGTCTGAGTCTGATTTGAAGGCATCTACTCACAGGTGGGCACAAAAAAGCTGCCAAAGACCCTATTTAGTTGCAGAAGTATTTGGTTTGATCTGTAATGTTCTAATTTCCTTTTTAAAAAACAATTAAATGGGCTAATACAACTTAAAAATGACAAGATAATATAGAGATAAAACTTGCAATTTCTGGGTTCTTTTGATGTAACAGATTTGCCTATATTATTTTTCCAAGTCACCAAAGGATGGCTGTGAAGGGGCAGCTAACCACTGCATTTCAATGGCGCAGGGCATTCTAGTGTCTGCTCATTCTCTCCTGTTGCTTGCCAACCCTTGTGAGTAAACTCTGCCCGAGAGACAGGAGACTTGAAAAAAAAAAATCATAGCTGGACATCCATGTATGATATAATAATTAAGCATCTATAAGCAGCAAGACCTCGTTACTTAGCAAGCTGATAACAAAGGTAACACGATATACTCCCAAAATTTCTGGTCCTAATCCTGCTTGAGATTTAATGACAGCCAAACGCAGCTCCAGCCCGGCAGCTTAAGAGCCTTTGACCTGGCTGAGCTCTCCTTACCTTTTCTGTCTGGCTTGAGGTTCCGATCCACAGGGGGTGGTTCACAGTCTACTACAGGAACTGGCCTTCTGGGAGGGGTCTTTGGGCTGGATCGGAAGCCCATATGAGCAGGAGGAGGAACTTGCATTCCAAATGAGGAAAAATCGAATGTCCCCGGAGTCATCGGCACATAGTTGGCTTCCTGCATGGGTTCGGTGAAACTGCTGGAATGCTGTCGTGGGGGCGAGTTGGGGTTCATTGGGACATAATTTTCATCCAGTTCTTCACTTGATACACTTCCCACTGTCAACACATTTTTGATTTTCTAAAACACACATATGTTTCTTTTAATAAACATGACTACTGTCAAGCAGGAAAATACAATTGTAAGTCACTTCTATTCATGTAGCCTAGAGGGACTCTTAGGTCAAGATCTCATTTAGTCTCAGGGCAGTAAGTGTGAAGGTTTTGACAATAAAACAGGCTCGATGGTACCAAGGTCAATGATACTTACGAAGTGGTTATGGAAGCCTTCAAGTGAACTAGATCTATCACTTGGAAATGTTCGTGGAATATCATAGCAGTCTTGAGAACTAGCATCTAAAACAGAGAACAAACTATCAACATTTTTTCCCATCTTTGCCAAGCTTTTAGAATAATTCAGAATCAACTATTCTCTCTCTTTACACAGATATACACAGGTTCACATGCACACATACAAGATTTTTAAAAGGATGCTCACAGAACAGTCTTCAGAATTCACACATTAACCACTAGAAAATGCAGAGTCTCACTCGCTGGCTAATCAATACCATTACTGATGATGACAGTGAGTGAATGCCCAAACCTGGGATGAAATATTATTATTTCAAGATGGAGAGAAGAATAACTTCTATTTTCTTATCTTTTGCATAACCCTGGGCCTAACTTATACCTCATTCGTAAGTAGGCAGATGGTTACTTCAAGAAGGGAGTCAGAAATGGGAATGGCATGGCTGAATAAGTACTGAACTCAGTAAGGAAGGACTATCCGCAATGCATTAATCTTTATCTTCTTGAAGACTGCTACATAACTTGACCACAGACTACAGAAACGTCAGCATAAGGCCGTTAGTGGACGTGCAGTTTAAGCATTGTGGTCTGTCTCTGGGACTGTGTGAAACTCTGTGGGTAACCCACATTTTTTCTCCTCAAGGTCTGTCTCTGACTTCTGACAGGCTCAGGAGATGGCATAGAAAGAAGAGAAGCAGCTGGGAGAAGCTGTGGGAGAAGATTCAGAGCCTTAAAGAGAAATAACACAAACACCCAGAAAGCAGAAAGGTGTGATGGGGACTGAGTAGCACCTGTTACACACAACATAAGAATGGCTCATCTGGGAGGGAAGGAAACGGATCCCAACAAAGGGGACACTGGAACGGCTGGAGGGTGTACAAATACAGGAAGGGGTAAGAGCAGAGGGTCCTGGGGGGCTGACTCACTTGCTGTGCCTCTGCCCCAAGACGGCTCTGCCCACCCAGGATATTTAGAGCGGGAACGAGCTGTGCTCTCCCTGCTGCAGTGAAGCCTGCGAAGCCACACTTCAGAAAGGGACACGTCCAGCCCTTCCTCCCCGGTCTGGGAACAAGCACCTAGACGCGGGCTGCGTGCACAGGCCCCCTCCTGGACCCGCTGCGCCCACACCTGCTGCAGAGCCGAAGGAAATTCAGCAACACCCTCCCATTTTACGACACCTTATGCCTAAGGGAACAAATATCCAGAAAACCCGATTTTCTATCCTTAATCTTGACAACACAGCAGAAGCCAAGTGGAGCTGACCTTTTCGCAGTTTGTTCAAATCCACGGTGGAGATGGTGTTACTACGTGACGGCGGCATCCCCGCCTTAGGGATGCAGTAACTACTGTCAGTGTCTGAGGCCGTGCGTGTGATGCTACAGGTTTCCACAGGGGACCGGTCGTGGGCTGGATGCGGTTTCGGTGGCCGAGGGGGAGGGATATCGGGAATAGTGTCAAGCTTTGATGTCTGTCCAAAGGTCCCTTCTGGAAAAGTCCGTGGAATCTGGTAGGTATTGCCAGGTGTTGGAGGAATGTCGTAACTGATAGATACATGCCTCATCTGGGCCTCCACACTGGACGTCCCAGACGGGGTATTGAAGACGTAGAGCTCTCCATCTGCTTCGGTACTTGATGGAGACACCTTTGGTAAGACGTCATGGGAATAACTCCTGGGGAGGTTGTACAGGCTGGAGTCCACAGACACCGAGGCCGAGCGGGATGCTGGTGAGTCGTATGTCACCTGCTGCTGGAAGAAGCCATTCACCCCATGTTTGCTCTGGGAGGAAGTGGGGTTTTTATGAGAAGGGACGTTATCGTTGCAGTCTGTCTCAGAAGACGTGGATTTTGCAGAATCCATGTGTGTTCTAAAGAAAGATGGTTAATGACAAGAAAACATGTTGAAGACACAAGACAACCTTTGCACACATGCATTTATAGCTTAGAGATCAAAATGCATCGTTTCTTTCATTCGATTTTTTGGTGTGTGATCCATAAGCTTCAAAGCATGAATGTTCTTTCGTTTTTATGATTGCGCAGCAGCTAACGAAACCACCACCACAAAACCACCAAAAAAGCATTCTCCTTAGTTCTGTCCTGTCCCTGCCCACACCCCCCACTCCACCTGTTAAATGAATCCACACATAAAACCACAATCCCTGAAGCACTGGCGTTAGAGACACAACTCTGAGAAAGGTCGGGGGTTTGACACGAGGAAATGCATTGACACGAGGAAATGCATTTGTTCTGAAGAGCTCGCAGAAGCTTAATGGCTGCGCCACTGCTGCACCTGCCCGCTGCGCTTAGGCCCACCTGTGGCAAACTGTTTATCTGTAAAACTAAAAGTCTAATGATTACCTGGTATTGATTTATTCAGTATGGAGCCTATCACTTGATAGGCTCTCCCTAGCTTCCTTTCTATTCACTTTCTTTAATGAACATTTAGCCAGTACCCTAAAGAGGATGAAAACACAAGCTACAGAGGCAACCAACTCCAAACAGTAATTAACCTTGGCGCATCTCTTTAGCGTATATTTTAGGTTTGGGGTACATTATCAGTCCCTGCATCTTATGGTATCACAAAATCTGGGCTATAAGCCAAGAGGAAGCTAAGAATGCAGCATACTCACACCCCTTAATGCTAAACTACATATCTAATCACCTCTGCATGTTGCCCGAAGTCTGGGAGGAACTTAATATTAAAATAACAACTCGAGATAGTTTTCTCAACAGGCTCACGCCCTTGAGTTCTCAGTGACATCTGTGTTGTGTTTATTCACTGAAGCCCCCACCTCACCCACCCCAGTATCAGAGACTCCATGCTGACATGTAGATCCTGATTTTCCTTCTCCCTCATGGACTAAGCTCCTATTTCACTGACTGTCACCTTCTTCCTGTCTCCCCCCTCAAATGGACAACAGAATCCAGCTCTCTAATCCTTTACCACAAACATCATTGAAATTCTTGTAACTTCACTTTGCAATGAATATTGACAATCCATCTTATCATCAAACGCTGAACCTCATCTTTCAAACCCATCACCTTCACTTCTGCTTGGTTACCCCAGTCTTACCTGGCTTCTAGAGCTCCTTCAATGGATGGTCCCCCCCACCCTGCCTTTAAAAGAAATGTCTTTATCCAGATACTCTAAGTTCAAAGTAAAATGAACTTGGATTTGTTCTTTCTGGTCTCCACCATCATTAGGGGACAAGCTTCCCACCCAAGCTTCTAGTCTCTGGTCCTGTTCTCATCCCAACTTCATGTCCAAGTCTCTGCTGGGGTCTACACCCCAGAACCCTCATAAGTGCCCTCATTTCCATTGGTTTCTCTGTCTTCTGACCTATCCCAGGGACCACACTGCAGTGCTGCTTTAAGACCAGTGATTTCAAATGTGGTTTTCAGATCACTCACCTGCACAGAGAAAACCTTATCAGGGTCCCTGCAGGCTGTGGGAACTACTCCACTGCCATCGAGGCTACTGCTAAGCTGACTGTACCACGTCTGATCGTGTGTCTTACCAGCCCCCCAACCCAACCTTTACTAAAGCAGGCTCTTCTCATTACCTGCCTCCCACCAGGCTCATTCTACCTCTCCTTTCCCTCAAGCTTAATTTAATTTAAATCAGTCAATCGATCTCAAGCTCAAATCACAAATGATGTTTTCCTACCATATACCAGATATAGTCCAAATATAATTCTCACCCTCCATCTAAAGAACACCTGCACTGTCCCTTCTAGAAATTGCTGGTGCCAACTACACAAATTTGAAAGTCTGCACATCATTTCATTCAAATTCATGAGTTAAAAAAAAGTTAAAAGAAGCTAGAGGTATGATGAGTTATAAGCGAAGTTCCTGCTCTTATTAGCTTATGCTTTTCATGGATAATAAATGAAATTCTCAAGCCTTTTCCAATTCTGTCATCAAACAGATAAGAAGGCATGACCAGGATGCTGTGCAAATTCAGAGTGGCATTTAATCCAACCTGGAAGTCTGAGGGATGTTTCCAGGAGGAACACACGTCTGAGCTGAGTCTGGTGGGATGGACAAGAGTGTGCACGGCCATAAATTCTCAGCTCTTGCTGCTGTCTAGAAACTCTCAATGTCTTATGTTTTAATTTCTTCATGAGCTTTACTTTACCTGCAAACTGTGAAGGTGACTGTCAGGAGGGCACTGCACCTCATGTAATTAGTTCGTACCTTCATAGCATCTCCCAGAATAGTGGGTACTTCAGGGCCTCCCCGGTGGCGCAGCGGTTGAGCGCTGGATTGCGAAGCTGCCCGCAGCCTCTGCAGCGCCGGTTCAATCCCCGGCTGCTCCCAGGCCACCGGAGGAGGGTCCCACATGGTGCGCAGACCTCTCCTGCCTCCCGTTGCTCCCCTCAGCAGTGTACTTTGGTCCTTCTGCCTGCTCTGCTCCCTGCTCTGGCTCTGGTGGATTCTCTCACCCTCCCGCGTTTCTGACTATACCCAGTGCTTGTATAAATAAATAAATAAATCTTAAAAAAAATAAAAGAATAAATTAAAAAAAAAAAAAAATAGTGGGTACTTCATAAATAATTGTAATTTAACTCACTTTTGCAAGATACAAATACAAAATATATCAGGGGATGATTCTAGGCTTAATTTTTACAATAACAAGAAAGCTGCGATACCATCAAATCGATGAAACATACTCGGTACAAAATACAATGTCCTGAAAATTGTCGTTTAGTCGCTGGCTTTTAACTAGTTGATACCGAAAAAATTGTAAATCTCCGTAAAACAAAACTGTCGTTAGTAGTATAGGTAACCAAGTTGCCAGTGTGTAATTTTAATTACTCACAGCAAACAAGCAAAATCAAGTTAGAATTTGATATTATTCACTACTGTGGATTTATAAAAAATTTTTTTTGCTCTTACAGGTAAAATCCCATTACAACAAATATACTGAAATCCATCTTTGGCGTGTCTGTGAGGCGCTTCCATCAGCTCAGGCAGGGACAGAGTCACAGAAAGGATCCTGTGTGTCTTAACAAACTCTACATAAAATCTCTGAACAAGTGTTTCCTGTGCTCCAAACCCAGTAGCATTCACTTTCCATAGGAAAATAGTTTTTTGTTATAAAACTTAGTATCTGATAAGTGTGATAACATCTTTCAATCTACACACAGCTCATCCCACTTCCAGTCTGTACCAACAGGTAGTAAATTGCCGCCAAGACCAGTGCCAGTTGGCATATAGCTGTTCATGGCAGAGGCAGCCCCATTGTAATTTTTTTGTTTCTTTTTCAAATAGCAAAGCAACTGCCTTTCAGTTCTCACTGTTACCTCGGACCTTCCAACTGCTCGGCCTCAAATGGCAAGGACTACATTAAAGTATTCAACAGATTATGAGATAAGAGGCAGGTGGAGGCAGAAGAGGCTGTGATGGGGCAACCAAGGATACGGGAAAGGCCTCTGGCAAACACTGACATTCGTTTACTTCTTTCTACTTAAAGCTTTCTAAAGTCAAGGCTTGGGGTAAACTCTGCTTCACTGCTAAGTTCAAAGATTTCAGAGCGTGGATTTCACGACATATTTGATTGCATCAAATGTCACTAAAACCAATTTGTATATCCATAGCATCTGCTGTATTGGGATTTTACCTGTACAATTAATTTCTCACACAGATCCAAAGCAACCACAACACACTCACTGCAATGGAATCGTTTTGCTTTCAAAATCTTCCAGTAGCAGGTATTCCTCTCCTTCTTCAGAAACAAAAGATGACCCTTGGCTGGTTTACAATCACATAAGAAATGGAGCAAGATCACCATTTATAAATCAGTGAAATCTGTTAAGCAAGTAATACTGTGAGTCTGTAACAAAGAGCATGAAACAGGAAGGCATATTTCCCAAAGAGCCTAGCAGGGAGCCGTGTTCTGTGACCAAGATGGTGGAAATCGCGTTTCTCAAAAAAAAAAAAAACCCTCAGAACTCAAGAGTGGAGGAATATAAACCCAAGAGTCAGTCTATGCAGATGGTTTCTTGTAAGCCTTCAGTTCAGGGCTATAAATTTTATAGATAAGAGTCTTGAACCCATGTGCGCATACGCACGCACTCATGCACACACACACACACACATACACACACACACCCCACACACTCTCTTACCTGGCAGGTTCAGGCATCTTGCTTTGACAGTTGATTAGCAAGAGGTAGTCTTGAGGATCCTCCTGGAGGCCAAGAGTTTCTAGGTGTGGCGGAGAGCTGATGAGCTGATACGGGGGAGGTGGCACACCAGACGATGACTCCACTTGGGTGGACAGTGGTGCTGTACTTACAGGTAAAGGTAAATCAGCTGGTGCTTGTAAGGAGCTGCCAGGTGGCTTCACAGGATCTGAAACACCCAAGAAGAATGATCACTGACTCTCCCATTTTAGGAATTCTTTTCTGTAACAAAGCTACGTGAATGTATGGAGATAAATCGTTGAAACACATGAGAACAGAATCATGCGTCTTGAGGACACATGTCATTCAAACAAATGTCACCTTCATGGCCACATGTTGACAGGAAATGATTGATTCCTGTCAAAGAATAAGCCCCTTTCTCTTCCTAAGGCTCTACAGATGCCTTGAAGAGTCTTTAGTTTTGAGTGTACTGGCAATAAAGATGTATTTCAATCTTAGGAGGACAGGTTTTTTTCCCTCCCAGGATAATAATGAAGTACTTTTTGGAGTCAAGACCACTTTCCAAGGAGACCAAGTTATTAAGTTGTATCTAAAGTCCATGGAGCCGTAAGTACCACAGTCAGCTCTTGACCTTCTGTGTATTTTCTGGATGTAGGTAAATGGAAGTGATCATGTTTTTCCACCCTCCCGCCACTGGCATCAAGGATCGTCACCTGTGGTCTTGCACGTGTGCCTGAAGGCAGACACCTGGAGTAGGGTGTGGGCATGTGTAAGTGGGCACGTCTGGGCTGAGAGGCTGGGTATATAAGGGTGCCATCACCGGGATGCCAGAGGTGGCAGAGAAAAAGCAGCAGAGACAGGAGAGAGAGAGAGAGCAGAGCATAAGACCACAAAACAACGCCAGGGAGCCCAGAAAGAATGAAGATTCACATGGGGCCTGCCTGCCTCCTGGCCCCCTGCCTGCCGTGTACCTGGTTGCTGAACTACATGTAAAAAGCTCAATAAAAGTCCTGAAAAAGCCACCAAGGACTCCAGGACTCTCCTTTATCCATCTGCCTAGATCATAGAGAACCTGCTCTGTGCCTTGCTGGCACTACACTTGGTCATCCTTTTCTTTCTACTCAGCAGACTAGGGGAAAATATTCTTAACTCCTGAACTAGTGGAAATAAATTCTATTCATGTTTAGGGAAAGAAATCTTATGGCAACATCTCTCCCCTCAATTGATAGCCTCATTTGCCACGGTGTGGATTGTTACAATATTTTCATGGAAAAGGAGTGAGCAAATAGAATGAGTTCATTTGAAAACAAACTGAACAACGTCATTTGAAAACAAGAAATAAAATCCCATAATAACCACTTAATCAACTAAGTTTAATTTCAAGGGCCCAGTCGAAAAGTTCTGTTAATCTGTTTAGGAAGACAGGCTATCCATAATCCAGCAAAAGGTAAGTGTTCACATATGAATAAACAAATTTGTTGTCTGTTTATATTGAAATAGAAAAGACTGGGGTGAAACTGAGATTTTGCATAATAAAACATAACCCAAAAATGCTGAAAAATGGTGAGGAAATTATTAATATGTTCTATCAAAAGACTCAAATGCAGGTCACCTGTCCTGTCCCTTCACCAGGTACTACAAAATAACACCACCTGTTTTTGATGCCTTGATGTATTCAATTTTAATATGCATATAAGCACCACAGTAAAGTTAACTTGGCTGATTTTATAACTTCATCCCCCTTGTCAGAGATACTCACATCCTAATTGTAAAGCTTGACTAAGATAACACTATGGCTAAAAATAACAGTTTTATCTCTAACTTTGGTTCCCCAGAACAAACAAGAAGGATCAGAATTTACATAGTAGATGCTCAAACAATATTTCAATCACCAGCAGGAACATACTAGGCACTTTCTCTGCATCAGTTTGGAAGAGAAGAATGCAAGGGGCACCCCCAAACCTACAAGACCCATTCATTCACCTGCACTTGCAATTCCAAATTTGCTCCCCAAGAAATATGTGATACTAATTACACTGGAAACCGTCCTCCTGTTGGAGGATAGAAATGGAAGTTGAACTAATTTTTATCTTTGTTATGCTCCATCTAATGTCAAGTCTTCACACAAGCTCAACTAACAATAGCTCACACTTTAAGCCAGAAGCTCATTCTTTCTTTATTATTTATGCGAAAGGCAAGAAGAGAGCATGGTGAGAATACAAAAATGAAATCTTGGGACATTTATTCAACATAACCCCATAATTTCAGTGAGAACACATAAACCACCCGTCTGGTCTGCTGGGTGTCGACTCTAAAGAGTGTATATAACATACGCTACGAAACGTTTTCCTGTTTTGATTCAGTTGCAAAATAAATGGGAGATTTATTTAAGGGGATTAAAAAAATGCCACAGATGAAACTGTGAATCAGAGTAAATCTCTGCCATTGTTAAATGAAAGAAACTGCGGAAAAATATTTACCTTCCATGGACGAGCTTAAGAAAAATCTATACAACATCGAGAACCAAAAAAGCTGAGGGATTAGGAAGCAGTTCCTAAGTCCTAGGACCTGTACTTTATATTTTTCTCCTTTCCCCTAGCCTCGAGCTTGATAACAGTGGTGTAATCCAGTTCAATTTAGTTCTAACTAAAACAAAATGAAACTAAACATCAGGAGGAAATAATACACCACTATGGAATATATCGTGTGGATTTACATTTTCCACTTGATTCCTAAAGTCACTTTTCCAGGTGGTTGCTTTTATAGATACACTTTTCCTTTAATGTCTTCCTAAACTTGATGTCTATACACTAAATATACTGAGTGATTCATCTTGGAGGTGGATGGGGGGCCAGGGGGAATGGCGCGCGTTGGGGAATCACCCAGTTCCACAATCACATTTGTCTGACCTTGTTTTATTAACACAATGGGACCATCGCATTTTTAACCTTCCTGTTCTCCCACCTGTGAATGACATAAGTCCTTGACCCTCGACAAAGTTTACAGCTGCCAGATCCTTTGATTTTTCTGAAAAGAGGCCAGGGATTCAAAGGTTCCTCTCCCCACAACTGCCTTTTAATCTTTTTTTTTTTTAAGATTTATTTATGCATACAAGAGCTGGGGTACAGGTCAGAAACGGTGTGGGGGAGAAGGTGAGAGGATCCACCAGAGATAGAGTGGGGAACAGAACAGGCAGACTGACTGAAACGCTGCCAAGGGGAGCAGCGGGCGAGATAGGAAAGGTCTGCTGCGCCATGTGGGTTGCTCCCTGGATGGCCGGGGATCGAACTCATGCTACAGAGGCTGTGGATTACTTCACTGCGCAGTGCTTAACCCCTGAGCCACCAGGGAGGCCCTGACTTTTAATATCTTATTCCCAATATGGAAAGATTCATATATCTTCTAGGAGGTAAGAACTAGAGGAAAAACTTCCATTGTATTCACTAGCAGGTTTATGAACGAAAAGATCTTCAAACAGCAGAGAAAAGCAAACCAAACCATTCCAAACTGCACTGCATCAAAGGCTTTAAAAGGTAAGGAGGCCGCCCTATCACCGAGGTTCATGTCTTTACAAGCTGGACTTTTGGGGATTACGTAACCTGTGCTGACTTGACTATATATGCACACACTCACTCGGCTCTGTATACTTCAACCAAGCATGACACTGTGTAAATATTCTCAAACATAACATTTCTGGCCAAAGTTAACCAACCATTCACACTATGAAACCTTGGTCCCACCTTAAAAAGACAGGTGATCTGCCCCTATTCTATCCTCGAAGTAGCTGCCTTGCTCCCTTGCTCTTTCTAAGTAAGGCTGGTCTCAAGTTTCTGAGAGCCAACCCCAGTGTAGGGTTTGCTTATGTGTGTAAAATTATTTCCTGTCTCTTAATTCAGAAGGCATGAAGAGTATAATTAGCATCCATTAAAGGCCTAATAAGCTGTTGGAGCAAACTCTTAATTGAATTTTACTTAGAAAGCTAATAAGTACTGCTAAGGAAAGCCTTAAGGAGCTTTCGGTGAAGAGATTATGTGAGCACTACAAATAATATATTGCTACCAGAGCTCTAGCTTAAAGCATAGTTTTACCCTATTTGGAGTCTCAGTGGCCGGTATTAGCGTCCCTCACAGAAGCTGGGGTGCCCAGTTAATGCCTGTCAACATTCATAATACTAGAGTTAGGTTGGGGTGTCACCCTCGGCTACTGAGCTGCAGACCAGCCTGAGGCTGCATTTCTCAGCATTTGTTTTTGTTTAGCAGATTTAACAGTTTCCACCTGCGTGGAGAAATGAAAATAAATCTGCACATTTCCAAGAAAAGCAAAAGAAATTAACTTGTATTCTCAAACCCACTAAATCAAAGCATGCACAGGAGCCACACGCGGTCCGACAACTAGAAGGTGAAGTCGGGCTGCGGAGCTGCCCACTCGGCCACCCGCCGTCACCTGGGGCAGCGGAAATGACACGGCAGCGGTATTTTAAGAGGTTCCTGGAATCAAAACACAGGTCAGAATTTTCCCCTTTCCTTTTGTTTTCGGGAGAAAACTAGTTATTCTCCTAGGGACTGGGGAGAGTTATTTTCTCCTACTGTGCTATCCAAACAGAGTCTGTGCTTTTCCACGTCTGGCCTGAAATCAGTCTAGTGAAAAGCCCTTTTTGTGTTATTAGTTTGAAGTCAAGAGTGGAGCAAAGTCAATACTAGGAAATGGGAAAAGTACGGGGCTCGGGGACAGATGGACGTAAAAACAAAAACACCCATTATTTGGTGATGGTGCCGAGCTCTATTTAGAAAGGAGACTATAAACAGGTAGTGGTTAATGGAAGACAAAGGCATTTTGATATGGACTTTGTCGTATTAAACTCAACGAACGTGATTACAAAAGATAATAGCAGTTCTTTGTGGTTTAGAATTTGATACAAATCTTTAACATGTGGAGTTTTTAAAGGCATCTAAGCAAAGTCAGCAACTACAAATGAATAAGGAAATTTGGTGGTTGACTTGTAATCCATGTGGTTTTGCTACTACGCACCATAAAAACAAAATTACAGAGCAAGATAAAATGTTTTCATGGCTCCTTGATACTATACAATGAAGCACTGCTCATCTTTTGCTGATTTATTCCAAAAACTCAAATTTTTGACATCATACTGGGAGATATTTTTAACTTGGCTATTTGGGAGATGGTCAGGATAAACTTGTAAAAAATCTAAGTTGCAGAATTTAAAAAATAAATGAAGTAGCATTTAGATATAGCTCAGGAACTAAATTTAGGACATGTTGGCAAAAGAAAGTCCTTAGGGGTTATTTTTAAAGAACAGATAAAAATGATTTGTGATTAGCATAGCTGTTCTTGGTAACCAGCTCACATAGTATAGATATCAGATTTGATTAGTCATTATTCATTTCCTTACAACCGCTCCTTTTATGGTTATTGTGAAGACAAAAAGTTCATAAATTGGATGTTTTACTCAAGTCAAATATATTTCCAATGTTTTATAAGAATTCAGGATTTCTGTAACCAAAAATGTCACTGTAGCTTTGAAGTTTTGAAACTTCGCTCCACCCTATACTGGTAGGAGGTACATAAAGTGAAAATATATTGTGAGGAACTTGGGCTACTAATATTAATGAAAATGTTCCATTATGTACAAAAATAAGGTTCTCAGTACACTATCAGTTATAATCTCAGAGTTACTTACAACTACCTAAGCTTTCCTGGACCTTCTGAAGACTATGTCTACTGCCATCTTAGGATTCTTTATTTTTTCTTTAGCAGAATACATATTGAACAGTATTATAATTCCTAGATTATTTGCCTGTCTCTCCTACTAGACTGGGAGCTCTGTGAAGGCCATATATATATATGTATATGGCCCTCTGTGTGTGTGTGTGTGTGTGTGTGTGTGTAAAGCCCTCTGTGTATATATCTGTATGTGTGTGTCTATACACATACCTGTGTACATATATATGTGCGTATACATATCTGTGCATATATATATATATATATCTGTGTGTATGTATATATGCATGTTTTATATATATAACCTGCATTGATCAGCAACCGTAATAAATTATTTTGGGAATGAATCCTCTCCCACTAGATATTCAGTTCTATGTCTATATGTGTGCCTTAAAATGTAGTTTATCAAGGACACTCACTTGAGGATAAGAAATTCTTGTATTGGGAGCTCTCAACTTGACCCACTCTTGAATGGGCCTCCCCAAATTAGATACGTTTCCTAATTGAAGAATGTACCTCTTCTAAAAAGGATCTCATTTTCTTTGTTAAATGTACTTAGGAGAACTACAAAGAGAACAGAGAAACAGAGAACACCTACTCCTTCACCTTGCAGGGCTTCTGACTCTAGGGGTTATCAGTGAGGAAGGTCTGCCCTTATGTCCCCCAAATTCTAAATTGAAAAGGCAGTCAGTGAAAGAACAACAGAAAGATTATAAAATGACTTCAATGATTTTAACTGGAAATCCATCACATAACAAAACTAGCGAGTTATCTAAATGCAGTAGTTACTATCACTGCCTGGTTGTTAGCTACCCATTAGAAAGAAAGTGATCTCATTTCTGATTTAACTTTAAAATCTTCTATTGCACTAAAAAATATACATACAAATAAGAAAGGAGAAGCATTTAGATGGAGTCAGAATTAGCAGCCCAAGCCCAATTAAAATGTGGACATATTTATTTAGTAACTGCACAAACACAATGGAAGCCTCAGCTCCTTATGTGAAATCCTTTCTGGGTTTCACACCAGCCACGGAAGCGCCCTGGTGGGCCAGCTGCCTTCTGGCTGAGCTCGGTCCCTCCTTTCCCTTCTCAGAGCGGCTGCCTTGGCGATTCTGCAGCCCCTCACCAGGGGGTTCCCCTAAGCCCCCACTTTTCAATCCCAGCCCTGAGAGGCTCCTTCTCCTGGGCTGCAGCAGGGCCAGAGAGGAAGCCACAGGCTGACCCGAGCTAATTAGAGCTGACTGTCGTTTCACTTCAATCCAAAACTTGATCTTGACAGCTGACACAATTTTTCCAGCGCTCACTGCACCTCCAGCTCTCCCAAATGCAGGTGTACAGAAACGCACAACAGTAAACCTGAGCCTAGTCATGACCACCACAAGCTCAAAGACACCGGGACACCCTTCCTTCTGATTCTTGGCTCTGCAAAGCTCATTTGTACTGGCGTGGGTTGAGCACAGTGCTGTGAAGCTGTCTGCAGCCTCTGCAGCATGGGTTCGATTCCCCGCCAGGGAGAGTCCCACATGGTACAGGCAGATCTTTCCTGTCGCACCCGCTGCTCCCCTCAGCAGTGCTTTTGGTGCCTGCCTGTTCTGCTCCCCTCTCTGTCTCTGGTGAATCCTTCATCCTCCTGTGCCTCTGGCCTGTACCCCAGCTATTGTATAAATAAAAAGTAAATATTTAAAAAAAAAACAAAAAACAGCAGTGGACAGGAAGTAAGGGGTCAGGACAGCTACGTCAAAGCACCCAAAGAGGGACTCTGCTGGCACAGCCCAGGTTGAGACCTCTACTCAGGCAGCTCTCCCCAGCATGGACACCCTACATCTCAGATCTGCAAGTCAAGCTCCCCTTGCCTTTATCATTCATACCCTTCTATTCCAGGCAAGTAGAATTCTTTTCCACCTCTCAGACCTTTCTCTCCCTTCTTCAGCCCCTAAGCCTGAAAGGGTCTGCACCCCTCCTCCTACTTACATAGAAATACTGCTTCTGGGAAGAGAGCAATTTACCATTTGTCTTCGTGGAAGACGATTTCTGTACTACCTCTTATCCACACCTGAGCCCCCTCTATTTCTTGGCTATGCTCTGTGCTATCCTTTGTCTCTCTGGTACTTAATCATCACATTTTGTGGCCTAGGAGCCTTTGTTTTTTGCAGCTATTGACAGTCTCCTGGGTTATTTCCTAACTTCAAAATCCAGTATAGTTCTAAAAGTAAAACCTAAAGGATTATATAGAGTCTCATGAAAATACTGTTTTTAATCGATCAAAAATGGTCAAACAGCAGTATTATATGGTTCAACTTAGTATTTATAGAGGGACTCGACAAATGCTCTTAACTAAGTACATCTTCTGGTCCTCTTTTCTGGACAGTGCTCAAAGCATCTCTTCCCATAACACATTTAAAAAAATCTCTCCTTAAACTGATGAAAGGGTGCAGGCCTTTTTACAAATGTTGCTGATATTATAGGAAAATAAAATTGCATTATATATTATGTAACTAAAATAATAAAAGTATGTCATGACAGCTCTAGAAATGCAGCCATAAAGGAGCCATCAGGTTGAACAATTCAATCTTGACCTTACCTTCTTCTGTAGGATTAAACCCACAGATGTCACAAATACAACGGACCCACTTATTCATCTCCTCTTCGCTGTCCGCCACCAAGTAGAAAATTCGGTCAATGGTGTTGATATCGAAAATGTAGCTGTTTTCAAATTCTTTTTTGTTAAATGTCAATCCAGCATCGACTTGTTGGCATAAGTTTAAATCAATGATACGGATGGGCTTCTTGGCGTGATCATTTTTGTAATATTCCAAGACATCCGGGTCTCCAGTTAGACGGCCGCTGCGTAGCACAAACCATCTCCTTTTCCACGCCTAGAACGAAACAACAGTCTCCATTTAGTATTAAGTGGAGAGAAATCTTACAAGGAGATGCACACTTATCACGCCAATTTTACAATGCATTGTCTAGGCTAAGTCTATGTTTTCTTTGTTTCTACAGAATGCTGTCACTATTGAAAAGCAAAGTTAACTTCATCCTGCGTATGTTTTCTATTAGATCTTCTATTAGAAGATACTGATTGGTATCAGAAGGCATTGATGTGTGATAGCAAGCCAACAAACCAGAGAAGGTTCAGTTTTTACTAAATATTTTTTTTTTTAAAAAGCAGTAGTTTCAATAAAGGATGCTGGGAAAACTGGATGTCTGCCTGCAAACAAAAGAATGAAGTCAAACTCCTACCATACAAAATTATATAAAATTAAAATGAACCAAAGATGTAAATGTAAGAGCCAAAGCTATAAAACTCTTAGGGAAAAAACATAGGGAAAAGTTTCCTGACAATGAACTTGGCAATGATCTATTTCTTGGCTATGTCACCAACCAGTACAGGAAACAAAGGAAACTGTAAGTGAACTGGCCTCCATTAAAAGCAACAATCTTTCACACCGAAGCACACTCAACAGCATGAAAAGGCAACTCACAGACTGGGAGAAAATATTTACAAATCACATATGTGATAATTGATTAATGCCTAGAATATGTATAAATCCATCCTAGCTCAGTAACCACTGAAACAACCCAATTACAAAACAGAGAAACGGTCATCAATAAACACACCAAAAGATATCCAACATCACCATCGTTAAAGACACAAAGCCTGGGACTTTTCCCATGATGATAACTTGGGGCGATGACGGCATTATGTTTAGGGTATTTGCAGAAATGTTATTCATAGTAGAGGAGGAATGTGGTGCTGTCCACACCAGTCTAATTAAACCAAGGATGCTCATGATGTTGGTCCTCTAACACAGACTGATTTTCCCTAAAACATGATTTCTGTGTCTTCACTTATATATCAGTAAATTTATTAAGAAAAAAGAAAAATCTAATAAATTCATAATCACCAAAATCAAAACTAGGATGACATGATAGCGTCTCATTTTTTATGTTTTACAAAATTTGGCACGTATAACACAAATGCACTGTAATGTCAACTAGAAATCGCTTCATTTTATCCCACAAAATACATGTGAGCAGAGAGAAAAGAGTATTAACTAAAACCCACATACAGTTTTCCAACAGATACTCCATCTTAGCCTCTATCTTCAACAAATTTTATCATAAATTCTGACATGAATTAATTTTGACTTGGCGTTTTCTGATGAAAGGTCTGGGGAGTGAGGACAATGGTCTGAGGCAGAGAGAGAGAAAATGAAAACTAAGGGGTCTGCGCGGTCCATAAACCAGCATATCTGATCTTTAATTTGGACAACTCTACCGATAACTGAGTTAATTTGGGTGATAACATCAGATTTAACATTCGAATAAATTCTTTAAATTGTATACATTCAAGAAAATTTGTAAAAATTTAAGAAGTAACTCAATGTGTTGGCCAGTCACCACGTTACTGATTATACTGCTAATATTGTGCTAGGTACTTTGTGGGAAGAAATGTAAATATGTAATTCATGATTCCAGCCCTCAAGGAATTTACTCATGATGACAAAAATATTTACATACACAAAAATACTTGAGACCACAGCAACCTTGGCACATATCTGCAGAACTACTGCTAAATGAAGAGGCACTCCTCCGTGGAAAATTTGAGCAATCCTTTAACAAGATTACTAGAAAAATCACAAAGGCCTCAAAACATTATAGTCTTTTAATATCATCAAAATTTTAAATTAACCTCTCAGTGGATTCAGCTCAAACAAAAAGTAAGCAATTCGTGTCCAGAAGAAGGCAGTGTAGACTTTCACAGAGTCTTCATAGACAATACTGAGAAGGTGTGAAGTTATAAAGTGCTACGTTCCCATGAATTTAGTACTGGTTTTTCGAATACAAAAATCCATCTCATTAACAGGTAACTGTTTACTTCAAAGCAAATACCATCTCTTAATAAAATTATGCCTTTACAGATAATCTCCCTATCAAGCTGTGGGCTTGAAAAATAAGTAACGAGAAAAGAAAAACCCTATTATGTCATTTATCCAAGGCCATCAAGGAATCAAATCTTTTAGTAAGTGATTTCTCCAGATCATGAAAGTTCCATCTTTAAATACAGAAATGGCTTTTTAAAATTTTAATGTCTTGCATGGAAATATTTCTAAAATGCCTTACTACATAATTCATTAAACATAATTCATCCATTCCCCAACGACACGGACCAAGTACTGCAGACATCAATTTCTCTGCTTTGCTCCAAGGAGGCCCCTGCACCGGTAGGGTTGTGGGGAGCATCATCAGTTCTCACCCCAAACAGCTATCCCACCCTGCTTATTTCGTTCACCAGAAATCTTTGAAACAGTTGTCTTTTTTCTCAAGTTTTAGCAACTGTCGCTCCTCCCTTCTAATAATGTGGTTTCACAGGACGCCCAGTTACATCCTGCCACAGGGACTTTGCACGTGCCTTTTCTTAAGGCCACTGTATCCTTTCCCTGACACCCCTGGCTGACTCTGACCCTGAGGTCTTCTCTGCACTGACCACTCTCAACACGACCACCCCCAATATAAAGCAGAGAATGGTTTTAGGTGCCTCATTATTTATCTACATGGTGATCTTACAATTCAATTTTTCTTTGCATTTATTTATTTACTATGTAACTCTCCTAGCAGATAGTAAAGTCAAAAAAGATAATGACTGTGTCTCTTTTACTTGACATCCCATACTAATGTATGTAGTGCAGTGGCTGGGACATAGAATATTTATACAAACAATAGAATTCCACTAATGGCTATAAAGTTGAAACATTTTTGAGAACATTAAATACAGGAACCATGTGGAATAGAAAGGTGCACTTTTACAAAACATCCTCCACTTCAGGAAAAGCGCTCCCATCCTAAACGTCTATGTAATAAAGCAACATAACCAAGCTTTCCTAAGACACATGTCTCTGGGAAAATGGAAAAACTTTTTGCTACATCTTATGTGCCACTCTGTCTCGTGGTCAACTGTAGCGCCCCCATCCGCTTCTGTGCGTCCTGTTGGAAGGACATTGTGAAAATTTAAAATTTCACTTCACTTTGGAAGTGAAAATAGTCACAAAATGAGTCGCCATGAGCTTAGGTGCACTAGATAGACGGGGCCAGCGATTACAGGGGCTGAGCAGACACGATACAAGAATGAATCTTCCAGCAGGAAGTTACAGCATGAAAACACCGAATTTAGCCAAGTAGCACCTGCCACTTATTTATTTATTTTTCACATGGTCCAAATGTGCATGTTTGTCTCAGTCACAAAATGAGTCACTCTCATTGAATCTGGCACAGATCAAACTGGAAAACAAAAGCAATTACATAAACTACACACTTTAATAAGGCAGATACAAAGGTTCTCTGGATTATGGCACAAAGCACAATTTAGCCACAGATAAAGCTTGATGTTTGACAAGAGAACTGACATCAGCTCCCTCGCTAATCACAGCACAAAAGCTTCTCTATGTTTTGTCAGAACACAAAACGGGCCCACATAAATCAGTCTTTGTTATCTGAAAATATCTGGGATTCTTAAAGTTTGTCCTATTTTTATCCCTGCTGCCTTGGTAGCCCTAAAGAAAGCTGTCCACGGCCTTCCTAGTCCTGTGAAGCAGCCACAGACAACAAGGAACATGTTTTCCAGAAACCTTTAAAAGCCAACAGTCAGTGTAGTTGGGAACAAAATTCATGTGAAAAATCATTTTAGCTAGTGGACTCCCATCACCAGTAGATCTGCTGGAGAGGAACTGTGCAAACATTTATGTGGCTGCCATTTGTTGACATGTAATAGTCACCTTCGATGTCGAGTTGACCAAGCAATGCAGTCGTAAGACTCCATCAACAGTTGCCTGGTGAAGAAGCTTAAGAGCCCCACACTTGGACTGCAGCATTCTCCTCCCGGGTTCCAGATTCGTGCTGGTTACTACTGTAACCACCCAGTGCAAGTGTGCCTGGATCGCACTGCCAACTCAACATCCACCACGTGGGGAGACTTTGCAACCCATTTACCAGATTCCTTAGCTCCAGGGACTGTCTCTGCCTGCAGGATGAAACCCAAGCCCGCTGAGGCTCCAAGCCCCTCCCGACAAATCCCGCCTCCCTTTTTGCCTCGCACAGTCTTCCGACATCGGAAATGCGTCACTGCTCCGTCCCACTTCTGGTCCTGCCACACGCTGGCCCTGGGCGCAACAGCCACCCCTGGATTCAGCACCCACCTCTCGGGGCACCATCCATCGCAGGCACCCTGCAAGCTCTCCATTTCCACCTCATTCCCAGTGCCATGTCTGAGTGAGTTTCTCGAGGGCTGGGACCCATGTTTTTCACCTGTCATCCTCTGTCCCCCTCGCCTGGCCTCAGGGGCACTCGGTCACTGTCTGCTGCTTATGCCAAGCACAGGGGCAAGGATAAAAGATTGAGGTCCTCACACATAGCCTGGCCTTATGGGAGTCCTGACACCACCCTAATCCACCCAACCCATCTGCGATCCGGCTGACAAGAACTGCCAGGCAAGAAAGAGATGTGACTATCATACATTAATTTAAAAATCTGACTGGGGGGCCTCCCCGGTGGCGCAGCGGTTGAGCGCTGGGTTGCGAACTGCTCCCCGCCTCTGCAGCGCCAGTTCGATCCCCGGCTGCTCCCCGGCCACGGGAGGAGGGTCCCACATGGCGAGCAGACCTCTCCTGCCGCCCGCTGCTCCCCTCAGCAGTGTACTTCGGTCCTTCTGCCTGCTCTGCTCCCCGCTCTGGCTCTGGTGAATTCTCTCACCCTCCTGCGCCTCTGACTGTACCCAGTGCTTGTATAAATAAACAAACAAATAAATAAATAAATCTTTTAAAAAATAAAAATAAAAATCTGACTGGGGTATTTTTAAATTTCATTTGAAAAGAACTGC